TAGGCGATTTGGAATGCCTAGATGACCTACAATCCTACTGACCTCACTTCTTGCTGCTTTCACCACAGTCCTTACACCGATCATCCTATGTTCTCCTTCTCTTGTTGTTGCTTTCTTCCAGGTCACTCTAGGCACCAACCGCCTCTTTGGCCTTAATGTATTTCTTGGCTCAATGAAGGAAATCCTCTATGGTCACAAGAAGAGTCTTTCCAATTGACCAACGCATGTCAAGGTGTTAGACGCCATTAATTGTTGTGGTGAGTTGGACGACGGGGCTGAGGTTCACACCTACAGATGCTCCAAGTTGAACCTTTTGATGTAGTCGTTAAACAACTCGCGTCGGCATTGAATGGTGTTCATCAGGCTTGTTGCGGACTTAGGGCAGCACATGCTGGTGGCGAAGTGGGTGGTGAATAGGTCTGCAAAGTACCTCTAGGTCTGAATAGAGCTAGCAACCAACCCTGAGTACCACATCCGGGTCGTGCCTCGGAAGGTGGCTGGGAATGCCATGCACAAGCTGGCCTCGTCGGCTCTACAAAGCTACATAAGTGCTTGGAAGCTTTCTACGTGATCAATGGGGTCTCTTGAACCATAATACGACTTGAGATTAAAGGCCTTGAAGTCCTTGGGCCAAGGATCCACAAGGATCTCAGCCCCAAGGGGTGAGGCTCGGGAGAATGTTTGCACGACCGAGGTGTTAGACTGGGTGACTTCCTAGGGATCCTCCACTTGTAGATTGAGCTAACTCTTGATGGGCTCGCGTCTAGGGCACCTCTTATGCCTATTCCTCTTGGACCTTGACATCAATGCAATGTTGCCCGACCAGACCGAGGCAATTTCTTTGCTGGTCTCCTTGTCAGGGACATACGTTGTGTCTTGCAGTTCGGAGGTCCGAGTCTTTGTTGCGTTTGCTGAAGGGTCTATTGGTCGACGTCCTTCTTCTAGGGGGTGGTTGACCTATTCACCTTCCGGTTGGAGTTCTGTGTTTAGTTTTGAGGTCGCGAAAACAACTGGGTTTGGGATGGGACCTGTGGTAGCATTGGCCTAAGGGCCGTGAAGCACTACTCCCAAGATTGCATGCGTAAGTCCATGCTTTAGACATATTACATCAGTTCTAGGAACTGACGATGGTTCGCTCCAGCAAGAACCACGGATGGCTCGGCTACTGATAGTTGCGCCCTATACGAGGTACCATCAGCTTGATTGTTCTTCGGTGATGGGGTAGACATGTTGAGAGTTGGATTGAAAATGGTGAAACTAAGTTGGATTTTCATTTCATTCCCACAAATAACACCAATTAATGCTACTCAAAATCATATGCTTTTTTGCTGGAGGACAGCTCGGACGATGAGTGCTAATGTTGGCGGACCAATCTACAAGAGAGACAAGACCAGTGTGTTTAAGAGCTTAGACCTAGGGTGAGCACTCCAATGCTTAAGTTAGCCGAGTTGAGGTGAACAAGAAATCAAGGAAATCTAGAGCTAAGAGTAAGATTATTTGCACTTAATTGTGTGTACCTTGTGAATGAATGTTAAGGTCCTTTTATGGGTGTTGGGGTTCGAGTTCCATGTCTGGAATATTTAGGGGCGTCGGGCCTTATCAGTTTGTTATCTTTGGGGCACGTTCATCCCACATGGGCAATGATCCTCATTTAGTCTCGCCGAGTTGTGCGAGAGTCGGGGTCATCCATGCCAAGTGGGTAACGTTTCGCCGCCTAACTCGGAACCAAAAGGCATACTACCCTGGATAAGGGTAACCCACCACTTAGGTTGGTAGCTTAGTACCCCGGAAGTTAGCTGGCTAATCAAGTCTTTGGCTACCCAAGTCAGGTAGCTCATGTTGGCCTCCAATGTCCTCGGCTTGCTCTACTGAGGTGATATGTGTTGCCCTATCAGGGAGCAATATGCTAACCACTCCCAAGTTGAGGTATAAGTCAGGCAAGTCAGTTTAGGTTGTCTCGACTCTACCCAACCTACCCTACATGGTGTCGAGGTGTCATCAAACAGTTTAGACTCGGTACGTGTTTCTTCGTAGTTGGTCAGCCAAATCACCCTTCATCACATATAAAACTCCAAATTTTGTTTTTGTTTAAAAAGTCATTTATTTTGATGGTTTCAAAATCATAGATTGGTTTCTGAAACAAATTTGACTTGTTTCACTTCTTAAAAGAAAAATGCATTGTTTTAGTATATATTTCAATATTTTTCTTATATAATGATTTAAAGAAACAAATGAAACATAGAACATCCCCACAAGTATTTGTTAAAAATAATGATGAGGGGAGTATGATACCGGAAAATCTTGTAACCAATCAATAGGTATCATATAAGTGGTAGCCAATCAGTGATATTTATTAAAATTTATAGGAGAATTTGACTGGTCAAAGTCCGTTTGATATTATGTATTTCTTGTAGGTTAAATTTTCCCATAGTCCTTTACTTTTATTATTAGTATTTACTTTTTTTTTTTATGCACTTCAAGGGGTTAAACAACCGGGGTAGTCCATCCCCATAACCACTAACACCTCCCCCTCCCCCTCCCCCACCCCAGGTAGGGGTGAAATTGAAGTAGTTGAAGTTTGAATTCGATTCATATTTTGTTTTTTTTTTTTTTCTTGAGTTTGGTTCTAATCGAAATTCAAAAAAATTAAGCGAACTTGCAAGTTCAAAGTCGCAATCTCAAATTCAAACCTAAATTTGACATATCTACCTTGCTTTTTCATATCTACCTAAATTTCATGGTAAGTTTCCTTATAAATGAAGAGAAAATAACAATAATTTTAAACACAAAACCTGTATAAAATCTCACTCTGCCTTAAGTAGAATCAGATTTGAATTAAGCCTAACTTTGACTATTCGATTAAAACTCAGTTCGATTGCATCCCAATTCTCACACAACCAACCCTAATGTTAATGGGATTTGATCCTAAGGCTGCGTTTGGGAACAATGCAAATAAGTGTGAATGTAAATATGTAGAGTGTAAAACGGTTCATATAAATTGTAAAGTTAGGTTAGTTTTGCACTGACAAATTTACCTTCTTACCAAACAAATCTTTAGTTTCAATAGATGCAAACACCAATTCCAATAAAGCATATGCCATTTTTTTATCAAAAGTCCACTTGAACACAAATTTACTTTCTTTTTATTGATATGCTTTTACATTTTATTATCAATGTAAATATGCATTGGAAAATGTGTTTTCCGTCATTTGTCAATACATAAATGTAATGGAAAAGTACGGATAAACCCATTACAGATTATTGGAATTGATTCAATGTTATCAAATACAAACAAAAGTGAACTAGAATGCAAATTTACCCTAAACCAAGATTTACACTCTATTTGCATCGTTTCCATACGCAGCCTAAGGCGCTATACTCAGCTAAAAGCATAAAACACTTGCCAACCATTCTAGCATCATTTAGGATAAATAATTAGGAATTTTGATGACTTTTCATCATTATTAAGCAAATACCAGAATAACCCCGTGAATTTTGATGAATAAAGGTGATACCAAATTACCGGTTTGCTGGTTATCAACTTTAGGTATCATATCATGGTATCCTGCTTTTACGGTAAACATTATCAGGACTTTTGGTATAAGAACATGGATGCAAAAGAGGTAGTACTGTAGTACTGTAGAAATAGTAGCACTAGTAGTAACAGTGGACCCACTGCTGTCGATAGTTGGAGCCTTGAGGAAATCGGAATTCACGGGAATACGTATGAACGGAGCAAGTGGCTCACCGCCACCTGTATCTGTTCACGTGGGTTGAGCATGGGCTTTTAAGCTTTACATGTGGGGTTGGGTCTGGGGGCGCACTGAGCTGGAACGAACTGGAGATATTGATAATCGAAGTTGCCACATCATCAGACAGCATATGATATGATCATGCCACGTGTTAAATAACACGTGTGCACTGCCTCCCCAACCCAACATCGACATCTATGGGACCAGCCAGCCACCTGAAACAACACTAATAAAAAGATGAAAAGTAAAAAGGCTAAAAATCCTCTACTGAGACCTGTGACAGACATCCAAGTGGGAGGAGAGTAGTACACTCGCAACCATTGCCTTACACGTGTCTATGTATTATTATTACTAAGCAGAAAAACCGAAACAGAACACTTCCGTATAGGAGGTGTCTATGTATTATTATTACTGAGTACTGAGAGAGTGTGGACTGTGGAGTGAAGGATGAGGGGCCTGGAGACTCTGGACTGTGGAGGGGTGGCTATCTCGATCAACTGAACGCCATGGCTGTTCAATAGGCTGTGAAGAAGTTTCATGGCCCTATTGTGAAAGTATGAAGTATGAAAGAATCTTAATATTTAATATTTTATTGTTGATGTAGAATCTTAATATGTCATCATTGATTGTATTGTACAGCCTGATGAACAGCCCCAGCGTTCAGCTAAACCTTGTTCGGACATCGTGGTTATCCGCGTCGCATCCGGAGGACGTCGGGGTGTTGTGCTGGAAAACTCCACAGAAACAGAATCTGGCTCAGTCAAATACCTGACGTGGTCTTCAAAATTGACTCTTCCAAATTCCAATTCCAATCGTAGTGCTTCGTAAATCGTTATTTTAAACGTTTTAACCGTGGAACCTCGGTATCCGTATGCGTAACTGTAACACCGTAACACGTGGATTACTGTACTACTAGTACTAACTACTAACTACATCATTCCTTTTCTGCCCATGACTCTCTCATTAAACCCTCTTTTTTTTCCCCTCTCTTCTCGCACTCACACAGTCACACCGACAAAATTCACCTTGATTTACTTTCATGATTCTTTATTTTTAGGAAAATTGCCTAAAAAACTCATCATTACTTTTTGTTTTCTAAAATTCATCATCCTTAAACCATCGTTAGTGTTCATTGACATAAATTGTCCATATTACCATTAATCCAATTTTTATGACCAAACTGTCCATGAATGATATGTCAACTTTATTTGATTCACTGGTTTTTGGTACGAGATAAAATTACGGCTTTTATTTTTCGTGGGCGAAGGTGAACTGCAACTCCTGTATTAACTTCATATGTTGCCGCTCAGTTTCCTTCCACTTTAATGTTCGGTCCAGTATTTCTATATCCTCACTCACTTTTCTCCTTCTGGTTTGATGATGGGAATTGGATTCTCTCTGCAAGGATTTTAGTGCAGTCATTGAAAATATAAAGGCAAATACTCGGTTGATTGCATCATATCAAATTCTCAGTTGGGTTTGTGGCTGCCTCTGCCTGGGCCTTGGGAGGTACATATATCGTAGTAAAGGGTTTCCTCCTTTCACCCTTATCTTCCCTTCCTGGTTTCTCAGTTTGAGCTTTCGGCTTGATCGTTTCTTGGTATTCATGGTCCTCTTCTGAGATTCTGTTTAGCGGGGTTTTGAGGAGTCTAGAAAAAGGAAGAGAACCCTCTTTAGGTATCTTTTGAATGAATACAATCTTTGTCCTTCTTCCCTTTGTTGATTTTTGGGTGAGAATGGATTCATGGGGCCGATACAAACTTTATAGCCCCTTTTCAGATTGAAACTGGTAATTTCCATTTCCTAATTGTTTTTCTCAAATTAAGATGGTAGTGGGCTTCTCCCTTTTTTCCACTTTCTTGATGTTCTCTGGGTCCGATGGTTTCTTTTTCATCAACTGAGCGTAGCTGAGTTGAGATTTGGATTTGATTATGGTTTATTCTTTGGTAACTCTGTTGAAGAACATACTCGGGCTTGTTTCTCTTTACCTTATCCTTACCTTGAAGGAGCATAGATTGCAACTTCGTAGATATTTGGTAATTGGTAGCTAGCTTTTACAGGGCTCCACTCGCATGAATAGCTCTGTTTTTTAAGTAATAAGCAAGTGGAAGTAGAACAAGGGACGAGATGTCGTCCAAGTCGAACAGAACGAATTGTTCTAGTAGCAGCTCTGCTCGACCCAAACACGGCGGCTGTGTCGTTGCTCAGACCACCGCTGACGCGAAACTTCATGTAGACTTAGAAGATTCTGAACATTTTGATTATTCCACGTCCATTGACATCAATGCTACAAGTGCCGACAACAATGCTCCCTCTTCCACTGTTCCAGCTTACCTCCAAAGGATGCAGAGAGGGAATCTCATCCAACCTTTTGGCTGTTTAATTGCTGTCGAAGAACAGAGTTTTACTGTTCTTGCCTACAGTGAGAATGCTCCCGAGATGCTGGACCTGACCCCACATGCAGTTCCTAGCATGGAGCAACAAGAGGCTCTCACAATTGGAACCGATGCTCGGACTCTCTTCCGCTCCTCTAGCGCCGCGGCCTTACAGAAGGCTGCAAAATATGGCGAGGTTAATCTCCTAAATCCAATATTGGTACATTGCAGGAACTCTGGTAAGCCCTTTAACGCAATTATGCACCGGATAGATGGTGCTTTGGTTATGGATTTGGAGCCAGTGAATCCCGCTGATGTGCCTGTAACTGCAGCTGGGGCACTGAAATCGTATAAGCTTGCGGCCAAATCCATCTCCAGATTGCAGTCTTTGCCAAGTGGAAACATCTCACTTTTGTGTGATGTATTGGTTCGGGAAGTTAGTGATTTGACAGGCTATGATAGGATAATGGTGTATAAATTTCATGAAGATGAACATGGTGAAGTAGTTGCTGAGTGCCGGAGACCCGATTTGGAGTCTTACCTTGGCTTGCACTACCCAGCTACTGACATACCACAAGCTTCAAGGTTTCTCTTCCTGAAAAACAAGGTTAGGATGATATGCGACTGTTTGGCACCACCGGTTAAGGTAATCCATGACAAGAAACTGGCACAACGGTTGAGCCTCTGTGCGTCTACGCTTAGAGTTCCTCATGGATGCCATGCACAATACATGGCCAATATGGGTTCTATTGCATCTCTTGTTATGTCTGTGACAATCAACGATGATGATAATGAGATGGAGAGTGATCAGCCAAAGGGAAGGAAGCTGTGGGGATTGGTAGTCTGCCATCACACAAGCCCTAGGTTTGTCCCCTTCCCTTTGAGGTATGCCTGTGAGTTTTTGGTACAAGTTTTTGGTATACAACTTAACAAGGAAGTAGAATTGGCAGCCCAGTTGAGGGAGAAGCATATTTTGAAGACCCAGACTCTGCTTTGCGACATGCTCCTCAGAAATGCTCCTGTGGGGATTTTTACCGAGTCACCCAATGTGATGGATCTTGTTAAGTGTGATGGTGCCTCACTCTACTACAAGAACAAATTTTGGTTGCTTGGTATCACCCCTACAGAGGCTCAAATAAGAGATATAGCTGGATGGCTTCTTGAGCACCATGATGGAAGTACTGGTTTAAGCACAGATAGCCTCATGGAAGCTGGCTACCCTGGTGCTTCAGTTCTTGGGGATGCAGTTTGTGGAATGGCAGCCATTAAGATTACTTCGAAGGATTTCTTATTTTGGTTCCGATCGCATACAGCCAAGAAGATCAAGTGGGGTGGTGCGAAACATGACCCAGTTGTTAAGGATGGTGGTAGGAAGGTGCACCCTCGATCGTCATTCAAGGCCTTCTTGGAGGTAGTTAAGAGGAGGAGTTTACCATGGGAAGATGTTGAAATGGATGCTATCCATTCCTTGCAGCTGATATTACGAGGGTCCGTGCAAGATGAGATGGAAAAAGACTCCAAGGAAATTGTGAATACACCATCAGTTGATTTAAGGATTCAAAGGGTAGATGAATTACGTGTTGTCACAAGTGAGATGGTTCGCCTTATTGAGACTGCTTCAGTTCCCATTTTGGCTATTGATGCCTCTGGTAATATAAATGGATGGAATACCAAAGCAGCTGAATTGACAGGATTGTGTGTGGAGCAGGCTATTGGAATGCCCCTAATTGACCTTGTTCATGGTGATTCAATTGAAGCTGTGAAAAGCATGCTCTCTTTGGCTTTGCAAGGTGGTACTAGTATATGTCCCTAAAATTTTGCAGCTTTTATAGCATATAGTGCCATTATTGAAATCTGCATGTTTGCTTAACATATACAATATTTTCTGAAAGCCAGTGAAATGTTTTATTGAATTTATGTCTACCATTTTTCATATTGAATACTTCACGATAAGTTGGTTCTAGTTTCCATATGTTTTTTTTTTTTTCTAAAACCAATTATCTTGGACACAAGCACACTTATTCGTTCTAGAAGCCAAATAATCTTCAACTCCATATGTTAATAATGGAATTTAAATGCAAAAAAGATACAAGACTACTTATTTGCAGATATTTTTAGTCCTATGATCTCCATCAATCTGCAAATAGCACAAAAAACAAAGGGAATATAACTTCAAAATTTGTCGTGTTTACCTTTTTGTGGAGCATTTGATGTTCCTGTTTTGAACAAATGGACTTTATTGGTTTTGACCGTCTTACATAATCAGTACAGCATCAAGATAGTTTACTTGTCCTTGGCCTATGATGGATATAAATGGATTAGGTTTGCTCCTTTCTGTAAGGAAGTGAAGCATTAAATATCCCATTTAAATCTTTGATGAATTAAGATTAAGTTACCATATTTAAGCTTATTCTAGTATTCCAAAACTAATGATTTCATAAATTTTATGTTAATCATTCTGGATTCTAATTCATCAGACATGCTTTTTATATTTCTCTTTTGATATATGCTTTCTGGATCTGTTATTGATTTGGTTTTGAAATGGCAGGCAAAGAAGAGAAGAACATTGAAATCAAGCTCAACACATTTGGTCCTCAGGAGTCTAATGGGCCCATAATCTTGGTAGTTAATGCATGTTGTAACCGAGACATGGTAGAAAATGTTGTCGGAGTTTGCTTTGTAGGGCAAGATATTACAAGGGAGAGGATGGTGATGGACAAATTCACCCGCATCCAAGGTGATTACATTGCTCTTGTGCAGAATCCATGTGCACTTATTCCTCCAATATTTATGATAGATGAGCATGGTTGCTGTGTTGAGTGGAACAGTGCGATGCAGAAATTGTCTTTTCTGAAGAGGGAAGAAGCCATTGATAAGATGCTTGTGGGGGAGGTGTTCACTCTTCATAGTTTCAGTTGTCGGGTCAAAGATCAAGATACCTTGACCAGGCTCAAGATACTACTGAACAGTGTAATAGCAGGCCAGGATGCAGATAAGTTACTCTTTGGCTTCTTTGACCGACATGGTAAATATGTGGAAGCTTTAATTTCTGCAAACAAGAGGACTGATGCAGAAGGTAGGATTACTGGGGTCCTCTGTTTTTTGCATGTTGCCAGTCCAGAATACCAACATGCTTTACAAATACAGAGAATATCTGAACAAGCTGCAGCAAATAACCTCAAGGAATTGGCATACATTCGTCAGGAAATAAGAAATCCACTGCAGGGGATACTGTTCACACACAGTCTAATGGAGGCTTCTGATTTAAGTAGGGAGCAGAAGAGACTTCTAAGAACAAGCACACTCTGTCAGGAACAATTGGCTAAGATCATGGATGACATTGATTTAGAAAGCATTGAGGAATGGTATGATCTATTTACCTTGATTAATTGTTTGTGAAATCTACTTATATACCCAATTAATTAATTTTTCAAAAAAAATAATTATCTTTTCTTTATAACCATCCATTAGATTAATATTTGTTTGTAAATTTATCCACTGAGTGGTACATGTAGCTATTGCATTTAGTTTCAGTTTAATATATATATATATATATATACATATATACCTTAAAGTAGATGCCAATTTGCAGAAAGCTGTCAGGAAATTTAACAGCTTCAACTTTGTCATCATCATCAAAGCCTGTCCCAAGTCCCAACTATATAGGGTTGGCTACATAAATCCTGTTTCACCATTCTGTTCTGTTCAGTGCCATATCTATTGTTAAATTATGAACCCTTAAATAATTTCCTACTACTTAACCCATATCCTTTTTTATTTTCCCTTAGCTAGGGTTGTTCACGGGTCGGGTTGGGTCGGTTTACTGCTGTTTTTCCAACCGACCCGACCTGGTCGGGTTGCCTAAAAATGAAACCAAAACCGACCCCGTGTTAGGCAAAACCGACCTGGTCGGTTTGAGTCGGTTTGCATCGGTTTGGGTTGGTTTGAGTGCTTGAGTTGAGGGGCTAAGGGAGTAAGGGCGGACCAAGTTAGAAGTTACCAAGAAAAGAGAGTCAAATTGTGTTAGAAAAAGAAGACTGAAATTTGGAATTTTTAAGAAGGCTTCTAATCTAAGTAAAAAACACACCTAATTGTAATTACCTATTTGGTGTAAAGGACCTTAGAGAATATGATCATTTCTTTAAACCTTCCAAAAAAATGCAAGAAGCTATTAATGGCATTAATGGCATTCCTTGTCTTGGAATGTTTGCCATTAATGGCATTCCTAAAGAGAAGACTAGAAAGTAGAAACTAAGTTAGGTACTAACTACTAAATACTAACTAGGAACTAAGTCTGTTCGGGTCGGTTTGGTTTCGGTTTTCATGTGTGGAAACTAAAACCAAACCGACCCATCGGTTTATTCTTTTTAGTAACCCGAAACCGACTGATTCTAAAGAAAACCTGGCCGACTCGGGTTGGGTTGGACTGGGTTGGTTGGTTTGGTCGGTTTGGGTCTTCTTATGAACAGCCCTGCCCTTAGCTTTTCTAGCCCTTTCAACTTGTAACAGATCACTTTTATGGATGCCATAGATGGTCTTCTCTGCACATGACCAAACCATCTTAGTATTACTTTCCCTCATTTTAAAGTTATTCAAGTTATGTGCTGGAGGAAACATGGTGGTAGTAATTTTAAGGTATAGGGTTTGGAGGTGGGAAGTGATGCTGAATTTAAAGGATTATAACCAGAAGATATTAGCTACATTTAAGGCATAGGGATCTAATATGGACTCCAAATTTTTTATACACTTTCCATAATAAACTTTCCGTGCAAAAATATATTGAGTATTTTAAGAACTAAAGCAACAGTGTAATATAAAATACCATTTACTACTTGTAAGAGGAAATGTTTACACATACAGAATGCATTCAATACTTCAACCTTTTATGATAGTATTGGCGAATGGTGATTGAGCAATCATAGTTACCCTACCTTGTTTAGCACCTTTCCAACTGTTGTCATACTTTCTCTGTTTATACAAATACAAATTGATAAATTGATTGGTTTTGGTAATCCAATCAGATTGCTATTTGAAATTGGGCATTTCATGATTGGTAATCCAATTAGGTTGTTTTCTGAGTGTTAACATCCAGATTGTCTAATCAACTTTTGATCTGTGACTCCCAAAATGCAGCTATCTTGAGATGAACACCTCTGAATTCAACCTTGGGGAAGCTCTGGAGGTGGTCGGAGCTCAAGTTATGACTCTGAGTAAGGAGCGACAGGTGCAGCTCATCTATGATTCCCCAGCAGAAGTGTCCTCTATGTACTTGTATGGTGACAATTTGAGGCTTCAACAAGTCTTGTCAGATTTCTTGACAAATGCACTCCTGTTCACACCAGCATTTGAAGGATGTTCTGTTGTGCTGAAGGTCACCCCAACAAAGGAACATATAGGGGCTAGTGTACATCTTATTCATCTTGAATTTTGGTAAATTATATTCTAACCTAAATCCTTTTGAATATCATCATATCTTGATTTGGAAGACTAGTTTCCTATTGCTTTCCCATTCCATCAGTTAAATAAAGCATATTTTGGCATGCTTACTGACTGAGCATGTGTATGTATCCACATGTATGTCATTAATATGGGTGAGAGAGTTAAACAGAACCATAGTTTTGACTATGAGTTGGAGCTTAGCTGATGAACATGATATTGTCATTAGAGGGTCACACTCACACACCTAGCACCAGGGATAATTTTCCCATTCCGTTAGTTGATGTGGCACATTTTGGCATGCTGACTGAGTAATGTGTTTTTGTTCATATGCATGCATCATTAATCTGGGTCAACATTGAAGAGCCATAGTTTCAACATGGTGCTCATTTAAAAAACATAATCTTGTGGTTACAGGATCACACACCCAGCACCAGGGATTCCAGATGCTTTAATTGAAGAGATGTTCCACCACAGCCAGAGTGTCTCAAGGGAAGGTTTAGGTTTATACATTAGCCAGAAGCTTGTGAGGATCATGCATGGTACTGTACAGTATCTCAGAGGGGCAGACAAATCGGCATTCATTATTCATGTCGAATTCCCCTCGGGCCTTGGTTCATCGCACTACCAGAACTAGATGATCTGATGGTAAAAAAAAGAATGCAGATCTTGCTACTAAAACAGCTTGGCACTTCACATAGTTCTGAGTCTTACAGAAAGAATTGGATACAGAGCTTTAGATTGAGTAAAAAGCAAACAAAAAACTAATAAGAAAAAGAATTGTCCTGAAGGGCTCTATTATTGTGAGGTTATTATCATAAGATAAATGCTTGCTTTTCACCTGAAAGAGAGTGTTGAGCATCTGAAGTTGGCGAGAGCTGACAAGGTAAAATAAGTTGAAGCATTTTATGTTCACCGGCCTTTGTGTCGTATCCTCTCTATTGCTCTTTGCTTGCTTCTTCTGTTAGTTAGCGGGACATTAATCCATTAAACATCTCTAACTTGATACCTCTGATACGATATGCAACTCTACATTGTTACTATTATAATATTGGTAGGCGAGTTGGTTGAAATTCTTTATTTTTAACCAGGAAATTAAATTCGACTCCCAAGTCCCAACTTTTTGAAATATGATTCTACTATAAATCTGAACATGATCAAAATTGAGGAAGTGGGGTTGCACTACTCGAAGCTTAGGTATTAATTTAATAAGCAAAATAATTGAATTACAACTTAGATTTCAACGAGGACCACCGCAAGTTACTATGACAACTTTTTTTTTTTTTTTTTGGGTTAAGAAAGAGGGGTTTTATAATTTTATTATAATGGAAACAACAACTTAAGGAGGGAAGATATCTTCATAATAGACATGCAAGAAAGGCTGAAACCACCGAGGAAAGCACTATCCTCAGAAATGCGCACAGAATTTGCAATAACGTATACCAACCGATTGGCTTTTCTGTTGCAATGCTGAAAGGTGAACTGAGTTCCACGCCTCGCAAGGCTACAAATATCTTGCCAGATGGCAAAAAAGTGGGGGAAAACTTCTGTTGCAGGGGAACATTGACAATACTGATTGCCTGGAGAGAGTCCGACTCCAGTAAGCACCTTTGACCCAATCTTAGAGGTTCTGACTTCTGAGCAGCCAAGCCTAATGGCTCGAGTTTCTGCATCAAGAATAGACAGACATCGGAATCTACATCCTCTTGCTTCTATCACCTGACCCTGGGAGTCTCGGATGACACGCACAGGCCAGACCCGCCCATTAACAAACAGTCCTCTGAGGGGACAATGGACTAGCCATGTTAGGTGGATTCAAAGGGGGAAAACAACTCCAACCATAACCGAATAGGCTGGTTTATCACCATGGTTTTTAAAACCGAACCGGTCAGGGCACCGTTTTCCGGTTCGGCAGTTCAATCATCCGGGTCAAGCGGTTCGACTTGTGATGTTATAAATAAGTAAAAAAACAAAAAATACTTATATATAATAAAAAATACCATAAAATTTAAATAAAATACAAAAAATACACAGAAAAATATAGGAAAAAGAACAACATATGAAAAAATAAAAATAATAAAATACAGAAAATTTTCCAAAAAATATAGAAAATTTTCAAAAAATAAGGATTAATCAAGGCACAGTGAAGGGGCAGTTCTTAATTTATCAAGGCACAGTGAAGGGGCAGTTCTTAATCAGATAATTGATTGATTCAGTTGAATCAATAGCTCCCTCATCAATCAGTAAAAATAAGGATTAAGGAATTAAGTGACCCCTTTAGAGTCATTTTCTTTCAATCTCAAGTTGTCTCTAGAAATCCTACCAAAGAAAAAAAACTCTAGAAAAACTAATTCATGCTTACTAAACAAGCATATACATACAGGGTTAATGACAACAAATTATATCATTCTAGCAGGTCCAAAGAATTCGAAAAATCAATTAAATCACAAAAAATAAATTGTACCTTCAGGGATTCGCCGCTGGTGAGCTTGGGCAGTCCACCTCTGCAAGTTGCTCGCCATTCGCCGCTGCAAGTCACCGCCGCTGCAAGTGCTTGGGTGACTCTTTTCGCCGCTGCAAGCTTGCCGGTCGCCGTCAGTGTATGTCATCGTCGGATGCCGGAGTTGATGGCCACCGCAGGTGGTAGGGTGTGAGGGTTGAGACTTGAGAGTTGAGAGGACTGAGGAGTGACTGAGTGAGGAGGGAACTTGGGAACCCTAAAGGCTAAACCAAATAAGGGACTGGGATTGGGATTCGAAAATCGTGGGATATAATTGGCATTTTATTTTTTGTTTTTTTTTATTTAAAACATTAAAAATAAAAATATTAACCAACGAACCGCTGCCCAGGTCAAACGGTTTAGCGGTCCGACTGCTGAGTCAGCAGTTTTTTTGACTTTTCAACGTTTTTTTTTTCAATTTTCCAGTTTCTAGTAAAACCGGACCCAAATGGCTGACCGGTTACCAGTTTTTCCGGTCCGGTCCGGTTTTGAAAACCATGTTTGTCACATACGACGGGTGGATATCTGTAGGAAAATTTAGCTGGCTCGAAATGATTTGTTCTTCAATTAGATTACTACGACAATTGAAATCTTTCTGTTGTAAGTTTTGAAACCATTGTTCACCCTCGACTCAAAACAAGTGCAGCAGATCAACCAGTCGTTTTGTAAATTTCCTTTTCCATCTTCCCTTTTTTTTCATTGAACGTACGAAAATTTTCCACATTGTATGTCTATTAGAAACTTGTGTTGACTCATGACTGGCCCGGTGGCTCCAAACGACTCATCAGTTTATGCCAGATACAAGCATGCATACCTTCAGCACTTCTACAGAATCTTACTATTGCATAATGATTCATCCATGAGGTTAATAATATGGATTATCGTGTCACGCAGAGAGAGAGAGAACCCTGTGGAATAGCAGACGCTATTCAGCCTTTATCTCCAGAGATACCTCTGATAAGAATTTCAAACCAAAACCTAATAGACTCAGAATTGGAAGCATTAGGCAATGTAAATAGTTATTTCTGTATAGGATTAGTGTATCATTTAATTGTTTCTCTTTTTTTTTCTGTTCTGTCAATGAAAACATAGAACAAATTACCAACTGGACTACATTGTAATTTATTGGTTTTCACAATCAGAATTCTAACCAATGCCTCATTATCTCTCTCACAAAATTAATGTGAAGTATAAAAGTTATGCGCAAAGTTCTGGAAGACCAATACCGCGCTTCAGTATCACCAAATTAAAAATCCTTAGGGTTATAGAAGTGACAATTGCACTTGCACAAAACGATCCTGTTGCAAAATAGAATTAGCCATGGTTCGGTTCGTGCAAGCTCAAAGTTTTGTACTTGAGGCACTAAAATCTTTGATCCAATCACATCTCAACCAAGACCAAGAAACTCTAGACCAGTGGCTGATGGTGTCAAACCATGCTGAGAGAGATACTGAGCGTCATAAAATTTACTCAGATGCCTCATCCCACTGTCACAAAGAATTGTTACAATTGTGTGGCCAGGCCCCATCAATTTTGCCACTCGAACAGCTCCAACACAGTTCATGGCTGAGGAACTCCCAACAAAGAGCCCATCATTCCTTAGAAGAAACCTGCAAACATGTTAAAGACATAAATAATATGAGAATTCAAAGCAAGTTAGCTGCTGAGAGCATTAGAAGGATGGAAAGATAAATAATATGTATGGTGCACTCAACCTGGACATTTCGACAGCCTCCATATCTGTACCTCTGAAAGCCCCATCAAGTTCTGCCATCATAAAATTCTTAGTTAACCTGTTAATCCCAATTCCTTCAGTTATGGTATCAAAAGGGTTCTTTAGCCTTCGACCTTCAGCCTCTTCCTTGGTGTACATCACCCCCCTAGTCACTTTATTGAACAGTCCAGAACCAGGAGGGTCAATCAGAAAGCACTTGATGTAAGGATTCTTTTCCTGTTCAACATTTCGTGAAGGATTTTATGCAGCAGTTGCAATAGCAAGAATGAAAATGAAGCATAGGTCAGAAAGAACAAAGATGAATGGACCTGCAGAAACCGGGAAATCCCAGCTAAAGTGCCACCTGTACCTGCAGCAGCCACAAAAGCATGCAAGTTGCGACCAGTTTGCTCCCAAATCTCAGGCCCAGTGGCCTCATAGTGAGCTCGAAAGTTTGCTAGGTTTTCAAACTGATCTGCAAAAAAACCCCCTCTCGAATATTTTGCCATTTCTCCATACTCCCGATCATTATTTTGCTGCAACATTTTGGCATCTGTTCCATCAGATTTTCTTTCTTTTGATGCTAATTCATTTGCTTCCATTGCCCTTCTCCTTGCAACATTGACATAGTGATCTCGGTGTGTAATTGAAACTGGTCTCACTCTTTCAACAGTAGCTCCAAGAGCTTCAAGAATTTGAGACTGGATAAAATTTTACAGGTAAGAAGTTGCAGTATTTACAAAGCAGATGGGCATATATAATACATGTTGGCTTTATAAGCTACTTAACTGCTACCACTGAAATATATTAACTACTTTAATATGAGGGAGGTGCTAAGGTGAAATTTCAATTGAAATCTAGAGAAGGGTCATGACAGTATTCTCCTCAAGAAGACAATTCAACAGCCTCAGGCTAAAATTGATAAGGCTGGCTCTGGATCTGAAACCTTATTAGGGTATAATGAGGCTCTAAAGCCAGCACTGTTAAACTTCTGAATTCTTGTAAGACACCATCATGATCCTATGGATAAAACCAGTATACAATATAGTGAATCAGTGCATCTGGAAAGAAAAGAAAAAAGAGAAAGGATTTGTAAGGATTTGTTTCATTCCACCTAATGTAGGGGCTAATAGATAGAAGAAAAGGTTGATGGGTAGCCTTGCTTCAAAACCCAAATAGATTATGATTTGAATCTAAGAGAATCCAAAGAATAGTTCTTAGTCCTCATTTGGTTCACTGGAATAGGGGTCTGGAATTGGAATCTGAATGGGCTATTCCGATTCTAACTGTTTGGCTGGGTGGAATCAGAATCCCATTCCCATTCCTGCTGGAATGACATTCCCCCATTTGAGGGAATGGCCATTCCCTGCCCCCTCCTTTGGGAATGAAATCTCATTCCTGCAGATTCCAATTTCCATTCCCATTCCTGTCTGAACCAAACAGACTATGGGAACAGACCATTCCGATTCCGATTCCGGCTGCGAACCAAATGGACCCTTAGTTTTCTTCTAGTAGCAGAGAGCTACTAAAAATTAACAAAAGAGAAAATAAGAAATCATGTGATCTCCAACACTGTTTCAAGAGGAGAAAATAGCAACTGTAGAGAACAACAATATTCAGTTCTGCTGTTCTTGACAGATTTGTACATGTAAATTCCTCAAAGCTTAGAAATTTGGCAATTACTAAAACTGTAGCTAACTCCTAATTAGAATCCTATATGTCCTAAAAATAGAAAACGGAAACAAAGAAATGGTAACCAAAAAGGAAACTACTAATTGCAGATCTTCTAAAACATATAGTCCCCACCTAAAGATAACAATAGTTGGTTAAGAAATAGAAGCTATAAATTTAGAAACTGCTGTCAGCTTCTAAATCTGTGTGCAACCATTAGTTCCTCATTCTTCTCTCATATGCTTTAGTAACTTCGGGATCCTCAAATCTCTCCAAAAGTTGGGTGGATGGGGTGCTTCCCTCACTCTATTCTAGCATCTTTTTTATGAGCTGGTAGCTAAGTGGGTTGAGCAAAAAAGGGAGTGCAGTGTGGAACTTAATACCTACCTATGGTGGTGTTTTGGTATGTGTAACACAGTGGTAAGAGAGGAATGCTTGGAATTTTGATAATACCACTTTGGATATTCATGTGGTATTGGCAAAGATTTAAGTGCTATATTTGTGGCTCTTAGTTCATAAGGAACTCAGGTTTAGAGTATGATGATTTTCTTACAGGGTTATACTGTTCTCATGTTAATGACTTGCTAACAGAAGCTTTATATGGTCCTTTTTGGGTGTACATGGGGTATGGTCTCATAGATATGAAAATGCAAAGGAGTGATCTGACTATCTTAGCTTACTAAGGGGGCTTTGGGTGGTGGTTCTGAGAAAACAAACATTTTGCTTTCTAGAAAGAATGTTTTTTATCCTTAACTCCAAAAGTGTAAACTTGTCTTACACTGCAAGTCCCAAGCCTGAAGCATAGATAAAGGAGGGCTGTGTCAGGTTGCCAGCTGGCACTACAACCTTTTGCCAAACTTTCATGCATCCTGAATTGACATGTTACTTTAACAATGGATATGGCACTGAACAGAGTGGAATGGCAGAACAGGCTTTGGCATGTGAAATTACAGTGCAACCTTGTCTATATGAGCACGCTTTAAATTAAAATGGTGACCTGTTTCTCAAAACCACATTTCGTAGGTTTTAAGACAGGAAGTTTTTGGAAACAGCTTGCCACTCTTTCCTATCATTGAACCACAGAAAATGGCATTTCCGTTTTTGAAACATACTGAAAATGGAAACAATATGCATCACAAACACCCCCTATGCCAACCAGGTACAATATTTCATAAATTATTAGTTAGAATGTAGAAGTAGATAGTGTAAATGAGAAAAGATTATGACAAGGTCAACTATAAAGTCCAGATTCTTAGGTAATATAAGTTTTGTGAAGAGGAAATATCTTCGGGCGGTCTCAACTGAGGTAAGGCATAGGATAAGGTTTGTACAAAGATAACTTGGTGGATTTTGATAGAAGAAAAAGGACTTTCAATTGAATGTATCAGCATGGTCAAGGAGATGTATAAGGGACCAGCAATCAAAGTGAGAACAATTGATAGAGATACAAGTGAGTCTCCAGTAATAACAACAACAATGACTAAGCATTATCCAAACTACATGAGGCCAACTACATAAATCCTAAACAAAGATATGCCTTAACCCATATGTTTTTGCATTGGTTATATTTTTTATCAGCAACAGGAATCAGATTATTATTGAAAAGATCAGAAAACAGATTGATCAAAAAAAAAAAAAAAAAGAAAGAAAGATTAAAACAGCCAACACTCAATAAGTGTTTGAAGAGAAGGGAACCACTACAGACAGCCCAAAGCAGACATACTAAAAGTATCAAGGAATCACTTCATTACACATTGGCCATGGGCCTACCACCCTCCATTGATTATGGATAAGCTACCCAAGAATGTACAAAGTAGGTCTTATTGCATTTTATTTGCAGGTAATATAGTTGCAATTGATGAAACCTGAGAATAGGGTAAAAGAAAAGCAAAAAATCCAATGGGATTCCCTATGGTTTAAAGATTTTAAAACAAACTGAATCAAGTGTAACTGTAGCAAATATGGAAATAGTAAAAAGGGGTTAGTCAAAATTGATACTGAAGAGATTCTTCAAAACTGACATACTAAAAGTATCAAGGAATCACTTCATTACACATTGGCCTTGGGCCTGCCACCTCCATTGATTATAGATGAGATACCCAAGAATATACAAAGTAGGTCTTATTGCATTTTATTTGCAGGTAACATAATTTCAATTGATAAGACCTGAGAATAGGGTAAAAGCAAAACTAAAAATGCAATATGACTCCTTATGGTTTAAAGATTAGCAAACTGAATCAAGTGTAACTAAAAAGGCTTCAGTGGGGTATAAGGGATCGCATCCCAAAAGGAAGTAAGATGAATAAGGGGAAATCTGTCAAAATGACTCAATGAAGATACTAAGTTGGAATGTTAGGGGTTTGGGAGGTCAGCTCAAAAGAAACTCAGTGAAAGAAACATTGAAGAGAGAAAATCCAGATATAATTGTCCTTCAGGAATCAAAAAAAGAAGTCATCGATAGAAAACTTATGAAAGCCATATGGGGAATAAGGGGTAGAAAATGGACTTCTGTTCCAGCTGTGGGGTCTGCTGGAGGTATCATTCTAGCATGGAAGGAAGATGAAATTTCAGGCTTGGAGATCAACAGAGGTGAATTCTCAATCTCGGTTCTGTTCACTAATATTAAAGATGACTTCAGCTGGATCCTCACTGGTGTGTATGGTCCTAACTCTCCTTCTGATAGAGTGAGGTTTTGGGCTGAGTTGGAGTCCCTGCATGAGGAGGAGGACATACCATGGTGTTTAGTGGGTGATTTCAATGTCACCAGGTTCAGTTCATAACATTCTAATGGTAGAACCCCAACCAGAAGCATGAGAAATTTCTCTAATCTTATTGACAGACCCAATCTATGTGATCTCCCTCTTACCAATGGACTTTTTACCTGGTCAAACATGCAAGAAAATGCCATAAGCTGCAGACTTGACAGATTTTTATTATCTCAGGATTGGTTGGAGAGATTTCCAAATCTGTGTCAAGATCTTCGTCCAAGATGTACCTCAGACCACTGGCCCATATTGCTGAACACCGAAAGAATAATTAAAAGAAAGACCCCATTCAGATTGGAAAAATTCTGGCTACAACACAGATTTCAGTAAAAAAGTTGCAACATGGTGGGAAGACTRCAAARTAGAGGGTTGGGCTGGATTCAGACTTCTTCAGAAACTAAAAGCTTTGAAGAAAAATCTTAAAGCTTGGGGAAGAGAAGAATTTAAAGCTGTTGAAGAACAGAAAAAAAGAATACTTTCGGAATTAGAGGACTTGGACAATAGAGAGAAAAATGGGACCCTCAATGCCTTAAACAGAAATAAAAGAGCAGAATTAAGAAAGGAATGGGAGCAACTAGTTAGAAGGGAAGAGATGTATTGGAGACAAAGATCAAGAGTGAGATGGTTGAAAGAAGGGGACAATAATTCCAGATTTTTTCACACCTATGCCTCGGGAAGAAGTAGGAAGAATTTTATTTCTAAGCTCAATCTTAATCAGAGAGAAGTGGAGAATCCTGAGGAAATTTCTGAAGCTTTCCTTTCTTTCTTTAAAAACCTTTACTCCAAGGATAATGAAAATCAATTCACAATATTTAATTGGGATGGCACTACCCTTTCAGCTGAAAAAAGGGATTGGTTGGAAAGAAGTTTTGAAGAGGAAGAAGTCAAGAAGACTATTTTCAGCATGGACGGTGATGGGGCTCCAGGGCCGGATGGCTTCCCTATCCTTTTCTTCCAAAAATGTTGGGAAATTGTAAAGTCAGATCTCATGGAGTTTTTCAGGGACTTCCATTCATCTACCATTGTTAACAAGAGCCTTAACTCTACCTTTCTCTGCCTCATCCCTAAGAAAGGGGGAGTTTTGGAAGTTAAAAACTTTAGACCCATAAGTTTGGTTGGGAGCATATACAAAACTTTGGCAAAGGTTCTGGCCAACAGACTTAAAGAAGTCCTTGAAGATCTAATTTCCCAAAATCAGTTTGCTTTTGTTAAAGGAAGACAAATTGTGAACAGCATTCTTATTGCAAATGAGTGTGTAGAAGACAGAAAATCCTCTGGGATCCCGGGGGTCCTTGTGAAACTTGATCTTGAGAAGGCATACGACAAAGTGGATTGGGACTGCATTCTTGATTGCGTAAGGCTAAGAGGTTTTGGGAGAAACTGGATCAGATGGATTAAAGGTTGTATTGGCTCTCCATGGTTTTCAGTATTGATAAATGGTGAAGCGAAAGGTTATTTCAAGGCAACCAGGGGTCTAAGACAAGGTTGCCCTCTTTCCCCTTTACTTTTCACTTTGGTCATGGATATATTTAATTATCTATTTGACAAGTCAATTCTTTTCAACTTGGTGAAAGGTTTTGAAGTGGGTAGGGATAAACTTCACATCTCTCACTTACAGTTCGCCAACGACATAATCCTATTCTTAGATGCCTCTATAACCAACATCACAAACACTAAAATGGTAATTGAATGTTTCAAGATTCTCATTGGTATGAGAGTTAATTTCTGCAAAAGCAGTATTGTGGCTATCAACTCAGTGGAAGTGGATCTTCTAGAAAATTTCAAATCTTCATTGGGGTGCAAAATGGAGAATTTCTCCATTACCTACCTTGGGATGCCTCTTGGAGGGAATCCAAAATCCCTCAACTTTTGGAGTCCTGTGTTGGAGAAATGCGAGAAGAAACTATCGATTTGGAAAAAGTGTTATCTCTCCAAAGGGGGTAGGCTTATTCTCTTAAAGGCCTCCTTATCAAATCTGCCAGTCTACTTTCTCTCTGTCTTCCAAATTCCGACCAAAGTCAGAAATCGGATTGAGAAGCTTCAAAGGAATTTTCTTTGATAAGGTGGTGGAGATAAGAGAAACCATTTAGTCAGCTGGAAACAAGTATGCAGACCAAAAGAGGAAGGCAGTTTGGGTATTGGACAGCTTAAAGAGAAAAATTTCTCTCTTCCAGGCAAATGGCTCTAGAGATTTCCAAAAGAACCTAATGCTCTTTGGACTGCTATCATCTCAAGTAAATATGGACGAAATACAAACGGGTGGGATTGCAGTCTCCATTTGAACAGGATAAAGGTCATCAATCCTTGGAAAGGTATATGTTCCATTCATACTTCTTTCTTTCCTTTTATAAGGTATAAAGTGGGAAATGGTTCTAAAATTAAATTCTGGAAAGATCTTTGGTGGGGGGAATCTACCCTGGATGCCTCTTTCCCTAGGTTGTTTAACCTCACCCTTGTCCAAGAAGCCTCTAT